AAGTCCTCTTTGCTGAGTGTCTTTTATCGGGCACTCGGCAAAGAAAAGTGACCGTCATGGTGGCGGCCCCGTTGACGGTCGCTTTGTCGAGTGCCAACCATGCAGACACTCAGGCAAAGATTTTTTATTTTTTATTTTTTAAAATTTCTTTGCCGAGTGCCCTCTATCTGGCCCTTGGCAAAGATGTTTTATTTTTTTTCTAAAAATTCTTTGCCGAGTGCTCCCTGGCCGGCGCTCGACAAAGTTTGATTTTTTTTTTAAAAAAAAATTCTTTGCCGAGTGTCCTCTGGCCGGCACTCGGTAAAGTTTGATTTTTTTTTAAAAAAAATTCCTTGCCGAGTACCATGGTCATGGCACTCGGCAAAGCTAGAAAAATGATTTTCCGAGCGTTCATTTTTCCAGCTTTGCCGAGTGCTGTGACTATGACACTCGGCAATGGGTCATTTGCCGAGTGCAACACTCGGCAAAGTGACCCAAAACGACAATTTTAATTTTTTTACATTCCATCATGACATATAAATTCATATAAACATATATCACATATATATCTTATCCATCACATATATATCTCATTTATCACATATATATCTCATCCATCCACACATCTATCCGCACATATCACATCCATCACAATATATATCACATATATAATAATAAGTGCTCAAGTCCATCCAAATAAATCCACAAGTCCATCACAAGTCCATCAAAGTCCACAAGTACATCACAAGTCCACCAAGTGAACAACAAATGAAAAAGATACAACGTGCACTCATCTCGGCCACTGCGACTGTGGTGAAGGCCCAACTCCATCATTCGGAGGTGCATGAGGTGGATTATTCGAACCACCGTCAGATGGAGACTGCACAAAGAAGAAAAGATTGCATGTGAGACAAGATTATTTGGATAGCTAATCTAGGAAGGTAGAGGCCATACAAGCAAAGCACAAGCGAAAGTAAAAAACTTTCATACTCACAAGAGCAGCTGCAGCTGCAGGACATGGAGGCGGAGGTGGAACCAACAGCCCAGCTGGCAGAGAGAAGCCCACATGTTGCTCAAGCCCTTGTAGGAACTCCGTAATGTCCGTCAGTCTCTGCGCCTGGACCTGCCGCTCGGCCCGCTCGGCCTCCAGCTGGGCCGCCATCCTCTGCTGCCCGGCCTCTAGCTCCTGACGTTGCCTCATTTCTTGTTCCAGCCGGGCCTGAAATATTTCACTCCAATGTTTCAGTAATGCAAAGCTAATTAAGGTGTGTAAAGATCAATGTATGATGAGTAAAACAGGAATAACCTTGAGTGCGTCGACCCAGTGCTGTGCAGCGGTCGACCATGTGCGAATGGCCGGGCTCTCGCTCGTGCTCCGTGCTCGGATCTAGGAGAGAGAGGAAGTAGAGGCCGTGTCGATGACTCGCAGAGTGCCTAAGTTCACTCCCCTCTTTAGATTCGCTGCATACCCATCAGGGAATATTAGTGTCTGGATCCATTCAAGTACTTCCCTCTGGTCCTTTTTCAAGACAAAATCGGCCTTAGGCCTTCTCCAGGTCTTGCCATGACTAGGAGGCTGCATCTCTTGATTTGGTCTATCGCACAACGTTGCTAGGTTCATTCTAGCCTTAAGGTTGTCCTTAGACTTTTCAGTGTCCATGAGTGTTGCCAAAAGTGCCTCGGCGATATTCTTTTCAGTGTGCATTACATCAATGTTATGTGGCAGAAGAAGGTCATCGAAATAGGGGAGCCTCGTCATGCCCGAGATATGAGCCCACATATGTTGCTCACCATATCCCACAAAACCACTTTCTTCATTGGGCACGAGAGCATCTATCTAAGCATGAACCTCGGCACCAGTCATCATCCGTGATGCAGGGTTTGTCACTTTGACACCTTTCGTAAAGTTCTTGATGTCTTATCTGAATGGATGGTCAAGAGGTAGGAATTGACGATGTCTGTCGAACGACGAATACTTGCCACCTTTCTGCAACCAAATGAACCTCACACCTTCCTTGCATATTGGGCATGGAAACTTCCCGTGAACACACCAGGTGCAGAATATCCCATACGCCAGGAAGTCATGCAGGGAGTAGTGGTACCAAACGTGCATTTTGAAGGTTGTCTTTGTAGCTCGATCGTATGTCCATACCCCTTCGTCCCAAGCACGAACCAATTCATCAAACACGGGCTCCATGAACACACCCATATTACTCCCTGGGTGTCCAGGAATTATCAACGACAAGAATACATTATGTCGTTGAAAGGAGACACCGGGGGGAGATTAAGGGGGATAACAAAGACGGGCCAACATGTGTATGGGGCAGCCATCATTCCATAAGGATTGAACCCATCTGTTGCTAGCGCAACACGTACATTACGAGCCTCATCTGCTTTGTCATGATGTTTGTCATTAAAGCGGATCCAAGCTTCACCATCGGATGGATGTACCATCTTGTCAAGATTGTACCGTTTGTCATTTTTGTGCCATGTCATCTGTTTCGCGGATTCCTCGGTCATGTATAGCCGTCGGATCCTCGGTAGGAACGGAAGGTACCGTAGGATTTTCACGGGGATCGTAAGTTGCCTCTTCTGGCCATCATCAGAGTCTACCTCCAGGTACCTGGAGGATTTACACTTTGGACAGAACTTTGCATGCTCGTGTTCTTTCCTAAATAGGACGCACCCCTTCGGACAAGCATGTATTTGCTCATACGGCATCTTAAGTGCACGAAGGAGTTTCTATGACTCGTACATGCTCTTTGGCAGAATGTGGCCCTCCGGAAGTAGGGTGCCAATCACGACCAACATCTTATCGAAGCCTTCTCGACTCAAGTTTAACTCGGAATTCAACCCCATTAAGCGTCCAATGGCATCCAGTTGAGACACCGTTGACCGATCGTGAAGGGGTTTATGTGCCAAGTCCATCATGTCGTAGAACGCCTGTGCGGCTGCCTCCATCTCCTCCTTCTCACGTCCCTCATCGAACTGTCCTTAGTGAAAGTCATCTAACATGTCTGCTACCCCCGCATCAGCAAAAAACAATGACACGATGGCCGACAAGCATATATGTCTCAAGAGAAGCCATGTAATTTGGATATCAATCCATGCAGAAGAATATATCCAAGTAGTACCACTACTTCTACTACTACTTTCACTATTGCTACTACTACTACCACTAGTTCTACTACTACTACCACTATTGCTACTACTACTACCACTAGTTCTACTACTACTAGTACCGCTACTTCTACTACTACTACCACTAGTTCTACTACTACTACTACCACTAGCACTACTACTATAACTAATACTACTACAACTATCACTACCACGACAACAACAAGAGAGAGGGGTGGGCGGCGTCGACGGGTGGCGGAGTCGAGGAGGTAGGGGTGGGCGGCGCAGGGGGGGCAGGGCAGCTCCTCCTCCTCCTCCTCCTCCTCCTCCTCCTCGCCTCCTCCTCCTGGTCCCTCCTCCCTGAACGGGTGGCACTGGCGGGCCAGGCGGGTGGTCCTGGCAGGCGGGCAGGCAGGGCAGCTCCTCCTCCTCCCCCTCCTCCTCCTCCTCGCCTCCTCCTCCTCCTCCCCTCCTCCGGGCCTTGGCGTGTGGGCGGGCGGTGTCAAGTGACAATAGTGACAATGCCACAGAGATGTCTGGTTTGTAAGCATCGTGCGTGACAGCGTGTCGAAATGTTCATGAAATTTTATCATAGCCTCATGTTTAAAAACATCTCAACAAGCGCATGATTTTCGGACTTCGTCATGCTTTTATAGAATTTAAAACAAAAACACTTCGCACGCAAGTTCGCGGTCATGTTTCGTGAACAAGATGTCCAAAATTTCGGGTCCGTTTCTGGATACGGCCTCAAACTACACTCAGTAACATGACTATCATTTTTTGAATCAATAAATTCCATTATTCGTATCACGTGCAGTTCAAATTTATATTTTTCGAAAAAATTCAAGTAAACGAAATAAAGTAACTAAATATATCAAAAAGCCACAAAAAATCCCCAAATTCTAACGAGGAGTTCCTGGTACTTTAAAAGGGCTGCACAAAAAATTTGGAGGCCAAAAACAAAAAAAAACTTTGCCAACCGCTAGGGCATGGCACTCGGCAAAGGGGGTCTTTGCCGAGTGCCAAGAATAAGGCGCTCGACAAAGAGGGTTTTTGAATTTTTTTTTAGAAATTTTCTCTTTGCCGAGTGCCTTCAAAGGGGCACTCGGCAAAGGTATTTAAAAAAAATGCAATTTTTTTAATTCCTCCCTTTGCCGAGTGCCGAAGCTGTTAGACACTCGGCAAAGACATTTCAAAAAAAAATATTGAATCTTTGCCGAGCGTCGTGTCAGGGGCACTCGGCAAAGTATTTTCAAAAAAAAAAATCTTTGCCGAGTGACTAACAGCATGCACTCGGCAAAGAAGAACGTGGCCGAACACCGTTATGCGGGGCAGCCTATGCCGAGTGCCGCGCTTTTGCCGAGAGCCTGGCACTTGGCAAAGAAGTCCTTTGCCGAGTGCCATTTTTTGCCGAGTACCCGACACTCGGCAAATAATTCTTTGCTGAGTGCAATTCTTTGCCGAGTGCGCCACTCGACAAAGAAGGTCTTTGCCGAGTGTCCGATTTTTGACACTCGGCAAAGCAGTTTGTACTCGGCAAATGCCCTGTTTCCAGTAGTGTTAGCAGCAGAGAAGAGATATGTGTCAGCAGTCAGCTCTCTGCGAATGGTCGCATGGGGTATGCAGAGACAGAACCGAAACGCAACTTGTGAGGCTCAATCTGGAACCAAAAGGAAGAACCATCGTCTAAAATGAAAATAAGTGACGCATAGATGCATATGCATCCTTATTTATTCAAATCAAAACCAGACTACATAGATGCATATGCATCTTTATTTATTCAAATCAAAACCAGACTTCTGCTGGCGACGTAGTAGTAGAGTAGGCCCTATGTATGGACATGTATGTAGTACTTATTAGCTACGAGAGGAGTCCATGCATATCTTGATCAGCATGTAGCTTCAGTTGTGGACCTCGGTGAACTCCGGGCGGTACATGGGCTCCGGGATCTCGTCGGCGCGCGAGCAGCACCGGCAACCGCCGTAGTACCCGCGGTTGCAGCAACCCCACCGGCAGTAGCCGCCGTGGCCGCCGCCAGGGTAGCCGCCCCCGCCTGGGTAGCCGCCACGGCCGGGGTAGCCACCCCCACCGCGCCAGCCGCCACCGCCCGGGTAGCCGCCGCCACGGTAGTCCTGCACGTCAGCTTTGTTCTCGTCGTCCTTCCTCGGCTCTGCATGATCCAACACAGACATATAGTACAAGTTACCGTGGCTGAAAGCTGAAACAACGCGGAATATAACAAAGCTAGTCGTTATGCTCACGGGTTTGCTCGTTAGCTGCTGAGGCGACAAGGAAAACGGCGGCGAGCAGGAGAGCCAACACGAGGAGTCGCTTGGACGACGCCATGTTTATCTCTCTCTATTCTCTGCAATTGTACTGGATCAGCTGCGAGTGTGTGATGAGAAGCTATGCATGCGAACCAAGCGTATTTATAGGCAGGACGAGGAGGCTGGATATGGCTACCGATCTTTCTGAGATCCATCGTCGTCGGCATGCAACTGTAGGGCTACTAGGGCCCATGGATAATTATAAGCGTTTGCCGTTGGGAGGAGATGGATGGCATTAACGCTGCCTCCTATCGTGCTTGCAAGTAGCCCAGCCGCCAGTGGCTGCGTGATCTCTCTGCCCGTTGAAATCTTGCATGCTCTCGGTGGGAAACATGCATGCAATGCAAGTTTGACTCGGAAGCATGCGCGCATGAACTATTAACACGTGTACGAGTAGCAAAAATTGTAAATATAGGCCCCGTTCACTTGTCTTAAAGTTTGGCTTATTTTTTTAGCCGGAACAATGTATTTTTCTCTCACAACAATTCAGCCGGAATAGTATTTTTCAGCCAGTTTCAGTCAAAGTTCATACCAGCGAACGGGGCCATAATATAGGTTATCAAGCAGGCATGACGATACTATGCATGCATTTATATATGTAATAAATATGTTTTTTTACAACAACTTTAATATTAAAGATATGAAGGCACGTTGAATCGGCGGCCTCCCAACGTGTCCACGTAAGTTTCATTTGAGTGGTACGTTGGATAAAAACTACACGGCCTAGATGCATCACCATGTTATCCATCCATGCAGAACCAACTCAACCAAGTTGGTGCATGCACATTGAATGCAGCAGGTGAATAAATGAACATCATGTCCTGAAGCCATCTACTAGGCTCTAAGCGGTCATGTCACTAATTTCTACCCCCATCGTCCACCAGCCACTGACATTGAATGGAGCAAGTGGACAGATAAATGAATAGGTATTTACATGCCAGTAAATTTGAAAATAGGACGCCACGTCCAGAACATACAATGCCCTTTTTCCATTACATACAAGAATTGACTATCAGCTTTTTCTCTTTACATACAAGAATTTACTATCAGTAAATAAGTGCATACATAAATGAACAGAAGGTATTCACATGCAGAACTTCACTCAGTAAATTTGAAAACATATCGCCACGTCCAGGACCATAGTATTAACAACACATGTGGATAGATCAATGGACAATAGGTATTTACATACAGAAATTCACTACCAGTAAATTTGGAGACATGACGCCACATCCAGAACCATAGTATTAGCAACACATGTAATGCCTTATTCTCTTTATATACAAGAGTTTACTATCAGTAAGCAAGTGGACAGATAAATGAACAAAAGGTATTTACATGCAAAAATTCACTCAGTAAATTTGAAACCTGCTAGCTCGAAAGCAGGTGGGCACATTTAATGCCTCTCGTCCTTACTACTCTCTCCATGTATGGACGGCGCACATTTCTCTATCCAAAAACAATTCGCCACTTCCAGGACCATGCATGGACGGTGGACATTTGTACTTGCACATAAAGAACTTGCAGAGTGTTGCTTCAGACAAGAACTCGATTAAAAAACTTCACATGCGCCGCGTATGTCAAAAGTAGGTGGACGCATTTAGTGTCTCTCCTAGGCCGCGTTTAGTTCCCTTCGATTCCAAAATTCGACACTATGCAAAAAGAAGATTTCCCGTCACATCAAATTTGCGGTACATGCATGGAGTACTAAATGTTGACGAAATCAAAAACTAATTGCACAGTTTGGTTGTACTTTGCGAGACGAACGTTTTGAGCCTAATTAGTCAACAATTAGACAATTATTACCAAATAAAAACAAAACAACACTGTATTCGGCGGAACTAAACGAGGCCCTAGATGAAAAATAGCTCCCACTTCGAGGAACATGCATGGTCATTTGTACTCTCACATGCATCCATGCGTGCAGGATGCTTAGGTTGGGCCCCATTGCCACTAATGAGCTCCTTGCACCCAGTGGTGGCAGAGGCGCCCATGCCTCCTTAAGTCTCCAGCTCTTGCCTATATAACCATGTGGTGTGCCATCCATTGCTTCATCGCCCTCCTCTCGGTGCTTGCTTGCATGTGCCCTCGTTTTAGTTCCTCCAATATATATCCTTATGTGGTTGCGGTCACCTTCCTGGGTGAAGTAAGGCCCATGTATAGGTGGTTTGCTTATATAGTTTTTATGCAGAACTATTCTTGGCAAGAGATCAAGGTCTGCTCGCAAGGAACTATTCTCTAGGCAGAAAGACAGGGCAAGGTAGCTCCTTCGTTCTTTTACAATTTTATTGTCTGGGTTCCATCAGTTGGGTGACAAAGTATTTCCACCTTGCAGTTGCAGTGGCGAGTAAGCCTACGTCTGTGGACTCCACAATCAAAACTACCTATCGCTACACAGCTTCATCCAATAGATCTGATGCTATTCTATGCGCCACATGTTGGTGCCATAACCAGTGTTCCAGTTTTAAGTCTGTCAAGTAGTGAGTAGTGCACCGTTGTGCTATATCCTTGGCCTATGAGTCCTTACTTGTGTTGGCCTTTGGAGGTCCCTGGGCTATTGTATCCACGAGTCCACTTTGCCAGCTTAGTAGATATAAGGATCTTTATGCCTTACTTGTGTTGCCCTTTGGAGGTCCCTGGCCTTTGGAGGTTCCTAGCCTTTGGAGGTCGGCCAGAGTGGCTTAGCAGTGTGTTGGTACCAGCCATCTAAGTTACTGAACTCAAAGAAATAATCTGTAGGCCCCTGTTTGTTTTTGCCCCTGTGTATTCTTTCCTCAGTTTGCTTAAAGTGTTTCATCTAATTTCCTTCCATGTAGGCATATCCAGTGCCCTGTACAATACGTGAATATCTATGTGATGCGTGCACTTCCAATTTGACTCCTATGTGGTAATAAGTTTGTGCAATTTGGTTCACTTGAGAATTGTAGTGCTGTGATGCGTGCACTCCCAACTTGACTCCTATGTGGTAATAAGTTTGTGTGATTTGGTTCGCGTGAGAATTGTAGCGCTTGTCTGTGTAGAGTCTGGTTGGAGAATGCCAAAAAATGCAAAACAGCAGAGTGCCGCCATGGAGATTGTGGAAACCAGGATGATGCAGTAGGGGGCGCAAACGCTGACCTGATTGCTTTCCTACTTCTCCCGTTCAGCAGTTTGCATGAACCAATACCCCAACATTGGATACAGGTTGGGTTCCTGAAAAAAAAAATATTGCCGTCAGCCTACCGGAATGCGTGGCCAGGGCTGACAGATTGGAGGAATCAAGAGGATGCACTGACCATATGTCGTTGTCACTTTATCAGGATAACAGGTTGTGTCATGTGGACTCTTAGGTTGGAAGAATCAACAGGATGAACTAATCTGGTTGACTGCCTCCGCCTCGCACCACTGCAGCCCATGTTGTTTGCCTCCCTTGGCCACGCAGGATATAGTAGCATCATGCTTCTGTCCACCTGAGCCGCACAAGACACGTGCATAGCGCTGGCCTAGCTTAGCATCGCCGGTGCCGCTTCCAATTCAAACATCGTGAGTGGCGGACCCATGATTCGATCATGACTATGGCCTGCACTTAGGCACTGAGAACTGTCAATTGTGTTTTTACTTATTATAGAAAATGACCCATTACCGTCAAGCCGAAAATTAATTAAAATGAAGGTGAAATGTCTAATCAATATGATGATTGCACATTACTCACCTCCAACAGAAATCGCCCCATATGGTAGTAGCCAAGAACTGCCCAACATCTCATTCACCTCCTGTAGCAGCATCAAACCATGAATCAGGAACTTCATTAAAATTTAACCCCACAAAATTTCAGGGTCAAAGACTGAATTAATGAAAATATGCAGCATTAAACTATTTTTTTGGGATGATAAGCTCAATAGAAAGATTGAATTAAGCGTTAATCCATGTGCTTGTGCACAACCAGTCTCTATTTATGCAAAACAGTGCCACACTCTTGAAGCAACAAGTCAGCCATTAATGAACTAACAAAGCAAGCAATGAGTGCCATAGCAATAGAACATACAGCAGCTACTCACTTAGTAGTTCTTAGTACACATACCAAAGTAGCATTTCTTTTCCCCATTAAGAGAGAGTTACAGATTAGTACAAAACCAATTAACTTGTGGTGTTGGACTGTGTAAAGAAAACTGAACTTAGTAATAAATCAGCTTAAGAATGTGTAGAGAACTAGCATGGCCAAGTAACAGTTAACTTGTGGTTTCTTTAGTAGTGTACTTCTGAAACTAATCTAACTCCTTACAAGCACATTATGAGAGGCATCACATGTCCGTTCCAGTTGAGGTAGATGGAAATTCATTGTAAAGTCCCTAATGCCATTGTACCATGTAGCAGCAAGAAAATGGCATTAGTCGGAGCTTTGCAGGAAAGTTTTGAGCATAACCTAGAACCAAACTCTAAAATATGGAGTACGTGCTAACATTCTAGGTGCAAACACAAAGAGAGGAGGGCAGGGAACCTTACATATTGGAATATGCATTCGACAGAATCATTGCCACTCCAAACTCTAGCAGGACAACAAATTATGAGATTAGCTTTTCAATTACCTAAATATCTCTGAGCACCTGAAGTCCTATTCACGTTTATTGACCTTGAGAGCAAGACTGCAGTGCTGCAGGTGACCAGTCCCTCCAGTTTGTTCTGCACAAGCGCAGAGTAGAATCAGACAAAAGCCCATAGCTAATTGAAGTTTTTTAGTAATAGTACAACACGAAGAGAGTTATGTATCATGTCCATATGTTTTGTTTTTAGAGATACTGCAATGAGTAAGAGAAGTGCATCCCTATAGTTATAGTAAATTTCAATTGATGATCACTGAGACAAATTGAATTCTGCTATGTAGACATGCTAATGAAGTAATGCAAGTATCACGAAATATCAAAGGAGATTGAGTTCCAAAAAAGGCACTTGTATCCACTCATTTGGAGGCAAAGAAACTGAATATTAGGACAAAGAAATAAGTCAAGGAGCTTCTCCTACAACCAGTAATAATTTGCAATGATCACTCAGATGAGTAATGGGCATATTATATCCCTGTAATATCAATCAGCCTCTTCTAGCATGGCAGGACATCAAACAACATTTGTCAATTACGATCAAACTTGCATATCTTCATGGTCCCACAATCAAAACTCCCAGAAACATATATGGAAAAGGTTCAAAGGTATAGAAATAATTAGCAAGCACTGTATGATTGCTCAATCAGAAGATAACATAAAGAACAGAAAATCAGAACTATGCATCTGTTGTGTCTTTTGGTTTTGTAAAATTGGAACATTAGAGAATAGGAGGAATTTTCATAACTGCAGAAATAATTTTCTTGTGACTGCTTTAAAATTGATTTCGTTGTTAAATTTTCAAATGTCACCGGTGGACAAAATCACGTGCAGTGTAGAGATATCGCCATGTAGCTTTGCATCAATTTTTTTATGCTTTGAATATGTTACAAAGCTTTGCAGACCATGAACATGTTTATAGTTCAGGCATATTGGGTATTGTGGTCCAGACATTTTTCCCGAAAAATATAATGTTACTCAAATCAAACTTCATAGAATTAAATGAAGTATCAGTAATACAAATATGCTAAAGAATAACAACCTCAAGTCAAGGTGAATTACTTGACAAAAATACGATATGCGATAAAAATTCTGAACAAAGTTTATATATTTTTTATCATATCAGATCAAAAATGGATGTGATCAAATTCGAAAGACATGACCCACATTCTTCCTCATTGGGACCTAAATAATGTTTCAAACAACCTGCTGATGTGATATAAAACACTGAGAGATCAGTAATGCTCTGTATGCATCTACAACTCTTCACATATGCAACCGAATGAAGTCCAGTTCCTTGTTCCTGACACTTGCTTTGCTTTATTCTGCATGTGAATGGTTAAATGCATGGAAAATAGAAGTTTTTGTCCCTGGTCAGTTTAACCCTATCAAGACATACTAACCGAATCCCAAAGGAAGCACCACACAAAATTGGACCTTTTTAGCCAATCACCACAGAAGGAACATAATCACAGAGAGGATGGAGATATTCTTACCCCACGCTAAGGCCAGTGGGGCCAATAGATGTCTGAAACATAAGATTGAACGGGTAGGGATCAGAAAGCGGATTCTTTGTATCAGGGGCAACAATGCCGTATTCCTTAATCTTTGCACCAAGTTCCTCTGCTGAGAAGTCATCCAAAATGGCAAGAATACGCTTAAATTCATCAGCCTTCTCTTGGGGCAAGGCAAGGTCTTTCTCAAGCTTCTCCTTGCAAAAATCTTTCAACAAGTGGTCAGCACGGTAGCATGTGCCTGTCTTCTCGTCTTTAACCATGAGGTCAGTAAACTTCTCGACATGGCCTGACGCCTTCAAGACAACCTCAGGCGTCACACAGGGGCAGTCCACCTCCAACATGTTCTCTTCCAAAACGAAGTGCTGGGAGAGAAATTAAGAATCTTGGTAATCTTAGCAAAGAAGAAGTAGAACAAAATGAATCATCAAATACAAGAAATAACTATACTGTAGACAGTTCCAATACAAACTAGTAACTCATATCTTAAACCTAGAACCAAAACTAACAACACAAAGTACACAAGGAAGGCTAAAAATTCTAATTTTTCATAGCGCATTTTCCAATTAGTAAATTGACATGAAAAGGTTATGATAAGATTACAGTCATCAATGTACAACTAAACCATGGAAAAAATTATCAACTGGACCAATGCAACACTCCTGTCCTAACAGAAAATCGTTGTCATAATCCAGATTATAGATACAAACCCCCCAGGGGAAAACAAAATTCTATACATCAGTTAATTAACGCTTAAAACAAACCACTTTCCCGCATCTGAAGGCCATACATGTCACAATCGTTGACACGCAGCAACCACGCACATCAGCTAAGACGAAACTAAAGGGCGTACCAGTGCAGAGAGCTCCCGCTCTGTGCGGGGTCTGGGGAAGGGTGTCAGTGACAAGCCTTACCCTCGCCTGTGCAATGCGAGGAGACCGCGACTCAAACCGGGACCTTCCGGTCACAGGCGATAAGACTACCGCTTGCATCAGCTAAGACGAAACTACAAGCAAAAAAAATCTAAAGCATTCAGAGACAGATCGCGGCGTCACCTGGCACCAGAAGGAAAGCACGTTGGCCTTGACGCGGCACCCGGGCGGACCGTAGTCGTAGAGCCCCGCGACACCGCGGTAGATCTTGAAGGAGGGTATGTAGAACAGCTTCCGCTCCAGCGTGTTCACCACCGCCTGCCGCAGCTCCTCCCTCGCGGCACCACCCGCGCGCGCCGCCCGAGTGCTGCTGCTGCGCAGCGGCGGCGGGCGGCGCCGACCCTCGACCTTGAGTGCCTTGCGCCTCATTGCGGCGTCCACGTCGGGCCTTGGGCCGCGCCGCCGCCGGCCGTGAGCGCGCGCGCGGCCTCGGCTGCTGCGTGGCGTCATGCGACGGCTGGCGCTCATGCGAAGCGCCGAAGCAGAGCGCCCCCCGACGGTGCGGCCATGGAGGTGACGACGGCGGCTAGGGTTGCGGCGGGCTGGGTTCGGGTTTAGGCGTGGAGGGAGAGTGAGAGAGAAGATGAGCTGGGGCGGAATCGCATAAAGACCATTGATGGATGCGGCGAACAGCGAAACCGAGACGCACAAAGATCGTTGAGGAATGTGCATTTGAACCCTCGCATTTGTTGATTTAATATGAAAAGAGCTCATGGACCTATCTGAATACTGAAGGTTTCACAGACTTTCTACTGTAGTTTATTATCGCTTTCGACAGAAGGAACGTTGGTTCAAAATTTTATTTTACTTAACTATAAACATTAAAAAAAAACTTTTATAGATCGACAACGTCAAATTAGCAAAGATAGATTTGTTTAAAATGGAAATAGGTTAAAATTGAAATCATTTAACTTCTTAAAAGTAAGAATTACTTTCCTTTTAGGACGGATGGTGTAGTATTTATACAACCCGTTCTCTGGTTGGTTTCTGCGCTGATAAGCCCGGTTGGTGCTAATTTGTTGTGAGAGGAAAAACAACATTGGGTGACTAATAAGTCCTGGTTGAAACAAACAATGAACAGGTGACAGTATTTAGTAATGTTGCCATTGGTAGCAAAACTGTGGACCACCCATGCAAACTCTACAATTTTTAGGCCTGGGGAAGAAAATAGTTAAAGGTAATAAATTAGAGAAGATAAGCTAGGCTTGTGTGTGATTCGACAAAAAGATGATGAGTCAATTGACCTGGTGATTACAAGACTGCTCATTTGACTCCGGTCGGGTTTTGTAGTTCTTCGTTGTTAATTTCCCCTTTGCAATAAGTGGAGCTTAAGACGATTCTTTCTTTTGAGGGTGTATCTGAAACATTGCCAGTATTATGGGTCTCATCTGGACGGCGTGGATTTGGTCCCGGAGGATGGGAGCACACGTACGCGGGTCGCCGTCGGGAATAAAATGGCCGGCAAATGGTTACGAGGATCTCATCCCGTCTCTATCCAATGTGATTCGATGGCCTGTTTCTCTCTCTAATCTCTTTCTTCTCATCGGTGGATCCATGGATGACTGGATGCAACTCGGCGTCGTGTCTATCTGTAATTTCTGGACTCCTTCTGATTTCTTTTTTATGAGACGCGCACAAATTTAAAGATTCAGACACTGTAATATCTGATCAACAATTATCTTTTTTTATTCAGTTATATACCATTCTCAGATGGCAGAGGTCAGAACTTTGTTTCCTTATTAAAAAATAATTTTTTATGCAAAATTTTGTCCTATGAAAATTGTTAGTAAAATTGAAGGTCAAAATATACTTAAAAGACCGTGCTCATGGCTTATACTGTATCTTGAAAAGAATCTAGTGTGGATTATATCTTAGGACTCCTTTGGAACATTCATTCATTCATTCCCCATGGTAAACCTCGAAATATCTTGTCAGCGTTGACAATCATAGGACAAGAACAACTGATTGCAATAGGATTGAGTTAATGATTGTTCTCTTCATGGCTTTCTCTGTTTGTTTTGTTTGTCCATGTTCTTGAGAAGATACATTTCACAATATTTGTCCATTATTAAGAATGTCAAGGTTGTAGAAATTACAAATTGATGGTCATTGGCCGCTGATTGTTTAGCAAGATGAGCTTTACATGTCATTTGAAAAATTTAAAATATTGATTTTCAAATTATGAAAACTTAAATCACAGATTTATGCTGCTGATGTTGCAACGGAGCAAGCCTTCATGCTGCTGTCTTCTGTGGCTGTGTCAGACTCAACCACTGCTCGCACCCTGCAGTTCCAAGGCCAGCTGCGCGGGCGCAGTGTTCTCATTCTGGTTGATTCTGGGAGTAGCCATTCGTTCCTCAGCGCTGAGTTTGCCTCCCAGTCAATTCAGCCTCAGCCGCAAGATGTTAAAGAACTCCGCAGCTTCTTAGGCCTTGCGGGATATTACCGTAAGGTCATCAGGAACTTTGCTCTCCTAGCATGACCACTCACTGATCTGCTGAAAAAAGGAACACCGTTCGTGTGGACTTTGGCTCATACTGCTGCATTCAATGCGCTCAAGACAGCGTTGGTCTCGGCTCCAGTTCTGGCCATTTCAACTTCAAACAGATGCCAGTGATTCTGATGTTGGTGCTGTCCTTCTGCAGGAGGGCCATCCGCTTGCGATTGTCAGTAAGTCTTTGGCCCCCCACACTCGGCTTCTATCTATATATGAGGAGTACCTTGCCATCTTGGTTGCTGTTGAACAGTGCGATCTTATTTACAACATGTCGAGTTTGCCATCTACACGGACCAACACAGTCTCATGCATGTCACCGACCAACGCTTACATACTCAGTGGCAGCTGAAAATGCATCACAAGTTGGCTGGTTTGCAATACAAGGTCATCTATAAGCCAGGGAGGCAGGGACCTCCAATTCTGCTGCTGATGCTCTTTCACGACACCCGAGCCTGCAAGGTCAACTGCAGGCTATCTCAGCCTCGATAAAAAAAGTAGATATGCCACGAGGAATTTATATCACACGTGTCTTCTTCCTCTACGTTAATGAATTTACTATCAATAGATACTAGTAGTAAATTTCCATGCTGACATATGGCCTCACGGGCAGGGGTGAGTCGACCCATCTCAGATAAAGACAGCCACGTCAACTAAGCCTACGAGTCAACTCCTGGCCCAACAGTACTACAGGCCCCACGGCAAATTAAAAAACAATAAATAATGTGGCATTTGTTTCTCCCATCCTATTGCCTAACTGAGTACCAGCAGTAGCAGACAACGGTGTATGCAGTACGCGGCCAGCGGCGCAGGCGCAACAGCCAGTAGTGCGCTCAGCGTGCAGAGCAAGAGTGCGGGGCCAGTGCATGCATGCGTCAGCTGGGTGTGGCGTGCGTGAGTCTTTTTTTTGTTTTCTATTTTCTATTGTGTTTGGTAAAAAAAAGGTCATTTTGTAACTTTGTCAGAATATAGATATTATGGATCTCATTTTGTTCAGAAAATTATTTCCAACAACATAGTACAAACGGCATATAATTTGGACTTATGGTTTGAAAAATATCGTAGTTTAAAGTTTGAATGCTAAAAAGATTCCTTTGTATGCAGGTGGGGGCCACATGTTTCATATCTCAACACCAGGCATGCAGATATGTACTGTACGCAGCAGAGGCCACACCTGGCGCGCGGACGCATGCGCGGGCAACCACAGGACATATATGTCGATGAAATATGGTCGGCAGTCCACCGAGGGGGGTGCCCGTGGTGGTAGATTATCGGTAGGATGCGTGTAATCAGGAACCAGATGGTGACACAAGGCGCAGAGACAACGATTTAGACATGTTCGGGCTGTCTGGTCGACGTAATACCCTACGTCCTGTGTCTTTGGTGTATTGTATTGAGATGTATACAGATTAACCTATCCTCTAGGGCACCCTTGTCTCTCCTTATATACTCCGAAGAGACAAGGTTACAAGTAAAGTATCAATTTGGTACTATTACAATATCTAGTACAACTTGTAATCTTGATGTGCACGCCTTGATCTTACGGGCCGGGCCACCTCGGATGGTGCGGCCCATGTACCATCTTGTGGTACCCGGGGGTATATCCCCCACAGCTAGTCCCCGAGCGTCATGTATTCTGATGCGACACGCCGTTTCAACCTTCTCCGAACAGTGAGGCTTGAGTTCTTGACATCTCCGACCACCGTTGTCGCCGGAGAAGTAGGTTGTCCGAAGAATATATGGTGCTCTTAAGAAGAAAGAAAAAGATTTCCGTCCTGGGAAGTGTGCCCACTTGTATTTCTGAAAAGAAATGTAAGTGTTTCTTGAAGCCTAGCGTCTTTGATCGTCAGAGGCGTAGTGGTCGAAAAACAAGCACATTCACCGTAAGGTGAAGTGTGCCCACTTAGTCCCCGAGCCTGGTAGTAGGTGATGTAGGCACGTGGTGCCAGGGTCTAAAAAGAATTCCCAGTTAAGTTGAGAATCAAATCGTCGTAAATGCGATACGAGATGCACCCAGGTGCAAGCGATGTAGTCCCCAAGCTTCTTTGGAAGGCGAGGTATGAGCCTTGTAGCAAGGTCTAAGTGAGAAAAAATATCCCAATCATGTGATGCGAAGTCGCCGATGCATGTAGTCGAGACGCAAAGTCCCCGAGCCGTGGTCGGAGAGTGGTCGAGGCGGTCCCCGCGTGGAGGTCGAGAAACAGCGACGAAGTCCCAAAGCGTGGTCGGAGAGTGATCGAGGCGCCCCGAGCATGTGTCGAGGAGCGAGCGACGAAGTCCCGAGCCATGGTCGGAGAGTGATCGAGGCGATCCCGAGCACAAGTTGAGGAGCGAGCGACGAAGTCCCGAGCCGTGGTCGAGAGTGATCGAGGCGATCCCGAGCACGGAGTGGTGCGGCAGAGTCCCAGAGCATGGAGTGGTCTGGTGAGTCCCCGAGGTCCCGAGCACGGAGTGGTCTCGGGCGAGTCCTCGAGCACAAGGGTGGTGCGGCGAGTCCTCGAGCACCGTAGTGGTCTTGGCGAGCCCCAAGCATGAGCTCGTTGACCGAACTATGTTCTGAAAAATAAAACGGAGAGCGGTAGTACATGATGATTTCTGAAATATATTGATCTCTCTGTAGGAGGTGAAGTAAACACTTGGTGTTCGGTTGGCGATGAATTATACTTGGTGTAATATTCGAAAAATAACATTAGCTGTTTTTAGCCCTTTTTGTTATGTAGCGACGTAGCGCGATGTATTAAACATCCGGAGAATGCGCGCCACAGGCTAACCAACATCTCAGAAGCGCGAGGTACGGAACACCGCCGCGTGTAGAGTGCCGGTGTTACCAAGGAGCGATCGCCGACTACCCGAAGCGCAGAGGGCGGACTCTCAT